GATGCACCAGGAAATCACTCAACACAGACACTATCAAATTCACAGTACCAACAGCTGCTGAAAGCCCTTCATTGAGGTCAGAAAGTGATGATTACAACTAACTCCCAACTGGTCAAAAGACCAGGCTGCCAAAGATGGCTTTTCCTCACACAGCACTTACTATAGTAGGGAATGAGGGTGAGTCAGCTCCCAGGGATATCTCCTCCAAAGAAAGTTCTTCTAATCTGTGAGATTGTTCAATATGTATACCAGCAAGCCAAAAGGAAATTACAAGACCAAGGCTGACTGACTGGATGTAAAATGAGCAGCAGCCATGGTCTCAGTGGACCAGTTTTTATGGAGGGTAGCAATTTTCTGGGCTCTGCACATAAGAGGTGACTCAACACAATCTATGCCCTTGATTAGCTCATAGTCTAGAAGGGGAACTATGACATAGCATTTAAAGTATCATGTGCAAAAACCTATTGCCTAATGTCCAAAAGGAAGGCCATTAAAAGTTCAGTATGGGAACCAAAGAGACAAGGTAAGGGCAGCTCATGGAAGTTAACACAATGTCAAGGATGCAGATAAAAGAGCTACTCTCAAAAGATTACAAACTGTGAGAACACTACCATGTATGGTGGACAGAAAGTGTGAGCCCATTTGTCCACCTCCATAGGCTGTCTCTTTACTTTACTCTGCACAACAATCACCGTCACCTGTAATGCTTTTTGTTTTTTTTTTTAAATGCGGATTCCAGGCGCACTCCCAGTATAGCTCCAGTGGACCCAGGAGTCTGCTTTTTCAGGAAGCACCCAGGTGAATCTTGAAATCACCTGGCTGGCTAGAGGATTGTACTTTGAGAAATACAAGAATAGACACTCTTCTTCTCCTTCTGAGATTCAAAAATTCTTTGGCTTTTATAGTTTCTTATCTGCCCTGTGCTGGTATCTAAGCTCCATGGGCATTCATACAAATCTCAGTGTATAAGGGCATGATTCTTATCTTGAAGGCGTCCACTTACACACTTTCAGCAGTTGAAACACTCAAGGACTTCAGACACATTGGAAGATGACTTTGTTATAACCTGCTCCTACCAAAATGTCCCTCAAAATTTGCTGACTCAGCTACCCACTGTAATGGAAGTGGAAACCTGGCTACCAGCCGACTTCTTGTTCCTGGTCTGCAGGGTTCTTGGTAGTTCTAGCCAGGCAGTCTCCCAGCAGGACTGGGCTATTTGTGCCCTAGGGGTAGCTGGCATCTCCACATCAGGTGGAATACTCCAGATAAGACACTGGAAGCATCTTTTTTCAGTGGTCTGACTCATTCCCCAAAATTAATAGGTCTTTGAAAGGCAGATCCAATCTGTTTTATGGAAAACGTCCATCAACACGTCTATATTCAGATGAATGTGTGTCAGCTTCACATGTTCATTCGTGTTCTCAGATATTCTTATTTTTCTTCTTTCCCTTTTTGCAATTAGCTAAATTATTACATATATATAACAAATAAAAATATTAGTTATATTTATTAAATTGGCATATATGTGTGTATATATATATATGTTACTCTGGTTTTTTGAGACTATGTAGACCAGGCTGACCTTGAACTTGTGATCTTCCTGCTTCAGCCCTCCCAGTGCTAGGATTAGAGACATGTACTACCAAACCTGGCTCTCCTTTTCTTCTTCTGTTTTTTATTCTCCTCTTCTCTTTCCACATAAGAGGCAGAGAAAAAGAAGGGATTTCATGTAGCTAGGCACTAAATACATGAGCCAGTAGTAGTGACTCCCACTTATTAACTTCTTCCTGGGTACCAGGTTCTGTGTCATACTGTGATTCTTATTACAGCCTGTAATCCTTAGATAGGTATTGTATCCCCTCACAGGCATTTGGCTGAAAATGACAAAACTTGGATTTGAAAAGAAGTCTGTACTACTTTAAAGAGCAAAACTTACCAGAATCAGGTGGTTGAATAAGGAGTGAGATTGGGGCGAGGCAGTGGTGCTAGAACAATAAGGTCAGCTGCCATTTTCAAGGAGATTCTCCCTTATGTTTCTTTTCTCCTTAACATGTGAATTGGGGTCCCTACAGCCTAGAGCTGCCTTGTTTGTGTGCAGTTTTGCTCTTGGAGGAGGAGCAACATTGTCCAGAGTGTTTAGGTAAATCATATCATCTTCTGCCCTAGCATCTGATCACAGATCACAGAAGAGCCTGGCCTGACTCAACAGGAGGTCAGAATCACTTCTCCAAGACAGTGTCAAGGGGAGCCAAAATATTAGAAGACAGAAGAAAGCAGAGCTATCATTTTTTCCCTAGCCCAATTACCCCAATTTTAAGAGTTTTTTTTTTAAACGGGAATCAGTAGAAAAATTTATAGAGTAAAAAGCAGAACTAGAAAGAAAAATATTGCTTCCCCCAAATGCATACCCACCCTCTCAACACACACACCCACTACCTCTGTCAGCTGCAGTCCTGTCTTTAACATTTCATAATCTCTCTCTTCCTCTCTGCCTTCATGTGATTTGGAGTTCAGGGCTCTTCCTTTTCTAGGCTCTGTAGTCCCACCTTCAGGCTTCTTATACTGTCTTGACTCCTGAAATGCAGGTCTTTCCAATGCAGTTCTTCCCTGCTTAAGCCTTGGCAATGATTCCTAGGACCGAAAGGATGAAGTTTGACCTGCTTAACATGGTCAAGGAGGCATCTTAAGATTGGGCCCTGTGATCTCCAGGCGCTCTGATCACTCTGCCCTAGTTATACTGAGTTTCCTGAGCTCCTGAACGTTCTGTCCTCCCTCATTCCTGAGCCTTTGCACGTGTTGCTCTTTCTGCTTGTAGCAACATTCCTGGTGGTCACCACCTGGCTAACTCCTCTTCAGCCTTCAAAGCCAAGATCAAATATCTGTCCTTTGGGGTACGCCTTCTAAGGCCTGCTCCCACTGCTCTAGTCTGGGTTGTATTGCCACATTCTCCCGGCATCTTTATCACCCTGGCTTTCCACCACCATCGTCCTTAAGACACAGTATTGTGGTTGCCTTTTTACCTGGCACTTTCTCTCTTTGGCCTATAAGCTCCTGGAGGACAATGACCTATGTCTCATGTTGGTTCCTTTTTATATTCTTGAGGCTTAACACACAGCAGCAGGTTAGTAAGTGTTTATTGATTACATTCATTCTCTTCAAAAAGAGTAATTTAGAAAATTCAAAGACTCAGAAATGAAATAGAAGGCAAATGTAACTTAGTAGTGTTACATTAGCAGTCCTCTTGGTGTCTGGGTCTAGTTTTCTTGTTTGCTGAGTCTGTTTATTGTCTAATGTATTTTTTCACTCAGCAGAGCAGGACTGTGAAGTAGTGTTGTGGGCTGGGAGAGGGTTCGTCCCGCGGACCTAAGATAGCTATGAATTTAAATGACACCTTCCCAGCCTGGGCCCCTGGGTTGCCTTTCTGGGTAAAGATCTTCTTCTATAAGAAGCTGAACTGCTCCAAGTGAAGATGTTTTCACTTTTACTAGCTCTTTTTGTGTTCTACTGTTCAAGCCCAGGAATACCAAACCCTGTTTGAGTCTTGACAGACTCATGTTTCGTGATTCCCCCCTCAAAGTGTTTGTGTAAACTCAAGCCACACTGAAAGTGGAGTATAGCTGGGAACAGGGTTCTGCTGGGCCTGACTCAACTTTTCATCTTGTCACTTGGCCATGTGCACATGGTGCTTGAGTAGGTGTTTCCCCTGAAATCTGTAGGTACTATGTATGCCCATATGGCCCAAGACCAAAGTACTTGCTTCTCAGTCGGTAGAGAGAACTTGAGATGTTCAACAATGAGCCCTTATGGAATACCTGGTGTAGTCAGGGCCTGGCTGCTACAGCCTTAGTGTTGGTGAAGTCTTCTTAAGAACTTCATTTTCTTGCTGATAAGATGGACAGAATGAGGTCACGGTACCATCATTGTTATCTGTAGGATTTATAAATACTTTTTATTTCAGAAAGCTGAGGGGGCATAGCAACTTTTTTTTTTTCCACTGCTGGAGATCAAAGCCAACATCTTGTGCATGTTAATTAGCCAAGAGCTCTACCACAGAGCCACATCCCCAGTTAGGAGCTTTGAAAGTATTTTATTTCCCAGTTTGAGCCCAGCTATGTATTTCCCTTTAAGTTACATGACTGACAGCTGTCACTTAGGACTACTCAATATAAACTCCCATTGCTGAATGGCTCAAATGGATGTCCATGTATCTATTTTGCCTTCTAATACAAAGTATGTTTTCCTTACTCTAGTAGCTCATCGGGTTCTTGAATCTTCCATCATAAACCAACTGAAACAGTAACTATATCTAAGCCATCCTTATACTCTGGCAAGAGGGTATTGAGTAAATGTTTCTCAATGATTCTCAGAGATACTCGTGAGGTCACATGCCCAGGAGGAGGAAGAAAACTGAAAATGAGAACTGGAGATTTTTCATTGACATTTGCTCTGAATTAGTTGCTGACTCCCTCAGTAACAAGACCCTGGCTTCTTGACCCCCATCAGATAGTGGGTATCATGGGATTTTCAGGAAAAGTGGTCACCAGTGCTTCCTTTCCCCACCTCCTGCTGATAGAAACAGCACTGGCTGATCTTTTTTGGTTACACCCTGGATTCCTTTGTGAGGAAAGGGAAAGTAGTGTGGATTAATGACTGACTAATTATGACTTATTTCCCTTGGTAGGAACTTATCTTTCATTGCTCATTTGCCTTGGGAAATAAGGAAGTATGGTTTGCAGATACAGAACAAGGGGCTAAGAGTCTATAACTCTGAGTTCTACTCCTGCACAATCTGGGCCATGTCACTGCCCTGCTCCAGGCCTCAGTTTCCCTATTTGTACAATAAGAGTTGGATTATATAATCTCTACAATTCTTTACTATTCAAAGATCTATGATTTGGAGCTCGCTTTTCCTATCATCTGTGTTCCCCACACCTTCCCTTTGACTGCCCCCAGTCCGCAGCTAGCAATTACTGATTTGTATCTCTGATTTATGCTCCTAGGTGTTCTTCGTGTCAGATCTGTTCAAGACTAAGACGACACTCTCGCTGCCTCCCCCTGCTATCAGGAAGGAGATCCTGTCACCTGTGGACGTTATTGACAGGAACAATCACCACAACATGGTGTAGGTGCTCCCCACCTCCTGAGCTGTCTTTGTAAAATGACTGCTGACAGCAAGCTCCTGCTGCTCTCCAATCTCATCAGACAGTAGAATGTAGGGAAAACCTTATGCCCAACTGATTTTTTTTTTTTAAAAAAGGAAGCAAACAACAACAAAAAATCTTACCTTGTGGCCTTTCAAAATAGGTAGTGTTCACCTATATGGAAATGACAGCAAAATAACACCAAGTGCCGGAGTCCTGGATGTGCAATTGGTTTAAGTGTTCATGTTCTAGTGAACACGTGCTTGTTCAGGAACAGACACCTGTGTGACCTGAGAAATCCCAGGTCTGTGAGAAAATCTCAAAATTCATATTGTAGCACACGATGCCAGAAACAGCACTGAATCAGAACATAGCCATGGAGGGTGTCCACTCTTGCATCCCTCTGCCCACCCCATTCTATTCTCTACTGTGACTTTGGTTCAGGAAGTTTTCTTTTGAAATATAAAGAATGAGCAAGTTTACTCACTTAAGTGATCAGATCCTGAGTCCAAATCCCCAGTTTGTAGGCCTTATCTCCCCAGACCACAGGCCAGCGACCATGGTCCCTCACGGTAGAGATTAGCAGACTCTTTGTGGGAGAGTACACTTCACAAATAGCACAACTTCAGAAGAAATGGAGGGTAGAGGCCCTCATTTGTCTTCTTTGATGCATCATCCTGTAATGTTGGAATGGCGATCACAGGATGCTGATGCTGTGGATATCAGTCGCCAGGCACTTGCACACCTAGAAATAGTTAGACTTCGGTTACTGCTATCTCCCTTGAAATCCTTGCTACATACCTACCAGGATTTCCCATGAGGTCCAGGAATAAGCAAAGGCATGACCTGCCCCCTGGCTAATGGAAAGCAGCCTTCTATCCAAGAGACAGGGGCAGGAAGTGGCAGAATGAAAAGGAACCAGCCTTTTGGCTACTCGAAGTCAGAAGGAGCCATTGTAGCAGACTAGCTCATACTGACCTACCAGAGAGGCTACCCTTCAGGATAACCGAGCGAAGTGGAGAGGGTCTATGCGGGAGTTGCTCTTGCTAAGCTGTGTAAAGCACTATTGCCTTGGGGTTGACCCCTAGGGCAGTTCTTGGTGGGTTCTGCTGGGCAGAACACATGGGTTAAATCTCCGAAGAGAGTTTTCCTCATCCTCTATCCATAAGTGTCCTTCCGAAGAAGGTCCCAATCTAGGCAGTAGTCAGGGACCCTTTCTACTGAACTCTTGAGGAAAGGAAGAAGGAAGAAATGCTTTTTGATCTTGGATGCAAATCTCTCAAAGGGCTACATGTAACCATATGGATCAATCACATGCACGTCTTTACTACAGAACCCGTCCTATCATTTCAACACATAGCAAGCTATGATTTTTATATATAAATATTATATAAATAATGTATAAAACATTAAAAGTTAACTATGTAAAATATTATTTCTGAAACAATTTTAGCTATATACACTATGATTATAAACTGTGTCTCGACCTGTGTTATTTACTTTAGCTGCTTAAAAAGGCATCGAGTTAATTTTTTTTTTAATCTCAACTAAGATCTCGTAGTTCTGTGGTAGCAATTGTTTTACAATGAGAGAAATAACTGCAACTAGAGAAAAGTGTATAAAAACATTAAATTGTCAGTATTTTTGTAAGGTTTCATTTTGTAAAGAGAATAATATTGGAAGACTTTTGTAGCATACAAAGTGAAAACTTGTATCTGCGAAACTGTACTTGTATTAAATGTGCTTTTTAAATAAAAGCTCATAACACAACTAACTAAGGCACTGGATGCCTGGAATATTTGTTTGGCATTGAGACTGGAGGAGGGGAATTGCAGCCTGCCCCCCATCCCTGGCTTAGGGCTGCCCAAGAACTGCCTCCTGATTCTTTCAGTGGAAGCATGGTGACCATGGGTGATACTAGTGTCTGTACTGCTCTTTCATCTCTGGAAAGCTGTTTGCAGAGTAAGGCTCTGGCTCCCCTCTCATCTCAGGCTCTTCTAAAGAGCTTTTGTATTCTAAAAGGGGTTTTCATGAGGGAGGTGGGAGCTGTGGCCCCCCTCCCAAAGGCAGATAAGGAGCCATGCTCTAGATAAGGCAGGCTGGGGGTTTACAAGGGAGTCCTTCACACAGCCTGCATCAAAGGAAGAGGGTGCATTTGGCTCCTGCTTTCCTTCCTTGTGCTTCCCCAGCCTGGACAAAAAGGCAAAGCTGGAAATTCATACGGATGGTGCACCTGTGTGCCAGACATCCTTGTCTATTTATTCCTGTTTACCCGCAGCAGCTCTTAATTTGGGAAATAAGGAATACTACAGAATGCAAAGATGGTTGACTTGTCTAGGATCCTCACACAGCACATTGCAGGACAGTCTTCTGTTCCTATAACCGCTGTAACAAATTACCACATTGGAGGCTCTAAGGGCAAAGTTTTTCTTTCCCCTTTCCAGCTTCTTAAGGACTTAGCTGTGGCCCTCCTCCTTCATCTTCAAAGCCAGCAATGTCAGACTACTTCCTCTGTACCGTCTCTTCAGCAGTATCCTTCTCATCTCTCTTCCATATTTAAGGTGATTGTGTGGGCCCCCATAACCTAGGATAATCTTCATGTTAAAGTCAGCTGATTGGCTTACAACATCTGCTGTTACATTCCTCTTTGCCAGGTAGCACGCATCCAGATTCCAAGGATTAGCACATGGGGACATCTTTGGGGCACCATCTGTGAACCTGTAAAACTCAAAAAAGCAAGCTGTTTGCTCCCAAAATTCAGTGGTGGGACACACATAGCATAACAATTAGAGATATTTCTATTTAAAAAGACAAGAAGCCTCAGGAGGTGGCTTAAGGATAGAGAGCTTGCTGGGCCTGCATGATACCTTGGGTTCAATCCCCACCATTGCAAAAAACAAAGGAAGGAGATAGTAAAAGTAGGAGGAAAAGAAGATGATCATCCAAGGCAATTTCCAAATCCTGCCAGGAAGTTTCATCTGTTTTCAAGGCCTAGAAATAAACCCATGTGGCTTCTAGCTTATTTTCCTCCCACCAACATCAGCCTCTTATTTGCTGCTTGACAAAGCAGGCCCACTCAGGACCTTGTGCCCTCAGCAGCTTTCAACATTTTTGTGGGATGTCCCTTGGGGTCCCAGGATGCAGCTAGGGAGGTCCTTGAGGTCACTGTCCAAAATTTTCATATCAAAACTGAGGAACAAAGGTCCAGAGACACAAAATAACCTTCCTATTAGAGGGTGGGGGAGGGAAGGCACACAGGAATGGAAGAACTGGTGGTGATTCCAGAGCCCAAGTCTCCTGGTATTAGTCCCCCCCATCTTTTCAGGCTACTCCAAAAGTGCTTGGTGAACTAGCCTCAATAAGAAGCAGTCTATTTCAAGGGGCCCATGGGAAAGATGGAACTACACCTCACAATATCTTTGCCTAATGAAGCAGGAAGATACATGGTAAACCCAATTCACAGTCACATGAGATGTATGTTTGGACAAATTTCTGAACTTCTTTGGGTCCTGGATTGTTACTCTATAAAAACGAGATTTATAAGGCCTATATGTTCACTCTTCTTTGTTCATGCTGTTCTCTCAGCTTGATTCTCAAAATGTGCTACGCAGATGAACAACATCTGTATAACATGGAATCCCTTCCCCCACTTAGGCCTTCAGAATCTGAACCTTCCTATGAACAAAATCCCCAAATCATTCACATGCACAATAAAGTTTGAGAAGAACTTCTACTCTTTGCCCTATAAACCTGCAGATTCTGGTAAGATATGCACTACCCAGTCACACCCCTGCAAAGCTGGGCTTAGCACATGCTGGACAGATACCAGTAGCCTCTTAGCTTTCTGAGCCAAAGTTACATGAGTAAATGGTCATATCAAGGCTCTTTGCTCAAGGACAAAAGCATGTGTTACCCTCTTTCCATCCCTGCCTTCCTTCCTGGCACTAAATTGTCCCAGGTAGTTGTTGAGCCAGTTAGCCAGAATCCAGAATCCAGATCAAAATGACTCTTGGTAATCCCCCATTAAACAGAGATCTGCAAAATGTCCATCTCTTCAGGAGTTAATGAACACACATGTATTTTTTCAGAAGTAGGGATAAAAAGTTTTATCAGCCCTAAGTCTGCATAAGATTTTTCTCCCAGTTAGAATGAATTCATTTACTCATTAGGTTATTCCACAATATTTCCAAAGTACTGTTCAGATGCAAAGACTGACCTAGGTCCTTTGTATGATCTGCTTCATTTAAATCCTCAAAAACAACTGTTAAAGTAGACATGATTAGCTCCATTATACTGAGAGGGAAATTGAGACTTAGCTAAAAATCATGTCCTATGGTGGGCAAGGTGGCACACACCTCTAATCACAGCACTAGGGAGACTGAGGTTGAAAACTAGGGAGACTGAGGTTGAAAGATCTCAAGTTTGAGGCCAGCCTGGGCTACATAGTGAGACCCTGCCTCAAAACAAAACAGAAGTTATTCCTAATTCACATATCTCATGTGGGATAGACCTGAGATCCATATCCAAAGCATTTTGATTATTTATTGACTAATATTTACTAATTACTTCCTAGGTGCCAGGTACTGGCAAATACATGATGTAGAACAGTGAATAAAGCCAATGGTATCCCAAGTTCAAGGAGATTGTAATCTAGCAGAGAAAGCAGACAAAAAATTACAAGTGTATAATTAAGAACTACCATGATGAGTGTTGTGAAGAAAGAACAGAGAAAGCTACAGGAACTTTCAGCAGGAGAACCCAGCCTATAGCGATCACCGAAGGCCAACACGTGCCTGCATCAATCCTCTGAGCCCTGAGAAAATGCAGGTCTAGGAGCAGAAACAAATGAGGAAATAAATAATCAGAGATGGGGGCTTTCTGAACACTATGAAACAAGATGAACCAGAAAGAAGTCTCTCAGAGGTGGGCTTTCTCCCTGCTCTGGGTAAACATCCCATCTACAACATCCAACTCTGAAAAGCATGCCAGACTTTTGTTTTGTTCATTGGCATGAACCCTGCCAATGGTGAAAATTAAATAGAGTTTTCAAACACTTAAGTGCACTCAATCACGTTTGATTTCTCTAAGTAGAAGGGGGGCA